CTATATAGTCTATATTAGAATCTAAAATTGTCTCTCAAGTTAGGTTACATCAAAACCTAATTTTAGAATTTAGTTCATGATTAAGAGAAACGACATAATCCAATCTAATAGAAGGAACATGGAGAAGAAAAGAATAAGAAAAACTGATTTGCCGCTTGAATTCTCCTCCTAATTGTTGTCGTTCTTGCTCTCAATCAATCTCTCCTTCCTTCACCTCTTGAGACGTCATTTTTTTTTTTGTTATTAAGTAGGTCTTCATGTTTGTATTTATAATCCCTTAAAGTTTTAAAAAGAGTTAGAGTTGGACTGGGCTGGGTTGAAAAATTTCTAAAAATTCTAATTTTCTCGCTTCGGGTGGCGGCGCCCATGTACCGCGCCTCAACGCTTTGCGACGCCAGCAATTCTGTTGATTTCTTCTATTGCGGCGCCTAGCACCTAGGCCCCCGTATGCAGTGCCGCAACACCCATATGCTTCCTTCACTTTGTTTGCCTCATGTTCTAGCCTATTTTCCACTTTATTTTTCTCTTCTTTCATGTCCACTCCATGTCCACTTCCATGATCAACAATTTAGCTCCATTCCAAGCTCCAAAGTATGCAATTTTCTCCAAGTTACCTGAGCTACAAACAACATGAACAAACACATCAAAACGCTAAAAAGTGCTCAAGAATAAATTAAAAACTATGTTTTAAAGGTGCTAGTTCAATGAGTGAATTACACTGATGAGTTATGTATCCTATCATCTTCTTTTGTCACTGGCACCACTGGCACCACATTGACTGAAATTTCTGCAACTTCTGGGAGAGATTAAAACACTGCTGTTGTTTGAAGTTCTCTCCACCTTAATCTTGTTTTCGAGCACTCGCTCAGAGATGGACACACTTTTGGGATGCCGAATTCTATTCCATCATAAAAGAATTTCAAATGGTCAGTTTCATCGTCCCATATTGCAGCCTTTGTGGCCTCAATAGAGAAAGTGTGCAAGTTGAAAATGATTCGATTGCTTGAATCCACAGACAGTCCATTGGTCGACCAGCTGGCCATATGCCAATGAATCATGCACTAATCTGGAGGACTGCAATCGGATAACAAGCTGTAATGTCCATTGCTATTGCCACGAAAGTAGAAAATGATCCCATCTCCACCAATGAACCACAAATTCAAACAAGCTGCTCCAAGAACATTGCAGTTTGGTTTTCAGTCTGTAGTTATCAGCTTTAATCAATATCTAGAGAAATTTTGAAATGACAACCATATACTAGTAGAAGTATGCAGAACTAAATATGTACAGAATTTCTTACTCCTGCATTTAGGCTGGCATATGGGTGAATTGCAGTTGACATGATAAACTTTATCATTTGAATTACTTTGTAACGGGATATATACTCTCAATGGATCTGTACTATAACAGCTAGAAACATAGCAAAAGGGACAATAAGTACTTGCTGTTAAACATCTTCGTTCTCCTCTCTCCAAGTAAGAAAAGAAGTTGGTAAGGTAGAATAGAAGTGCTTCTGCCTTCTTTTATAAGGGTACAGCAAAGTGGGATTTCCTCTTTGGTTATTTTTTCACTTCTATATTCAGCTAGGTATTCTTTCTGAGATTCAATTCCTTCCACTTAATCTTGAAGTAGAAATATGAAGCTTAGTTTGATTTTGTTATGCACTGTTTAAAGTTATAACCTTGTGTAAGGCATACCTTGTTAATTCAGTAGCAGTTGACATTGTGCACACATGCACCTGGAATTAGCTCACATGATAACTGATCGGTGATTGTGGAGTTGATTAAACACACTAGTCACATGAATTCTCCAATAGAATAGTGAGTTGGCTATAATAATTAGCATTATAAATTGGCGATACACGTTATTAAGGTCACATAACAAGGACAAGATTGATGTCCATATGTTGTCCCTAGAAAGAAGGGTCACAATTTACGGTAGGCATGTGAGCATTAGACATTAAATTTGAAAGTGGAACATTGAGGGTTAACAACATTGTTATGCTCCATTAATACCAGGATTCTTGCCTCCGTTTCCTCTGGGAATATTATTATCTATAAACTAGCTTCTTGACACTCAACTAGATAACTTTCATTTATTTATTTTATCAATGTTCTTATAGCATGATCTTGTGCCTGAAATAGAAAACATGAAGATAATATCTATAGAAGAAAGCATTGAGTTATTTTATACGAGTAAAAAGCATAAATTTCTGCATTTATTGAGCTACAAGCATCCATAGCTGAATAAGTAAAGTGCCCACTGTTAATTGGCAAATTCGTAGGTTCAATTCCTATTTGGATGTGCATATTCAGGTTATAAGCAGTTACTTTTTGCAAATGATGCCATTTCCACGGGACAATATACTCGAACAATCAAGCCTTCCACAATCTGCTGCTACCGAGTTCTGTATTTGATCAAATTCTCTAATAGGAGAAAACATACAATATGTACAATCTCTGGAGAAAAGGGATGTGATTCTGTACTTATCTTCACCTCCTACCACTGGCATTGCCACACCTAATTTTGCAGGGCTCTCAAAATCAGGCATCAAGTGCGACCAAGCACGCTTTCAACTTTTGTGGAAAGGCCAAAGAATCTGAATTGTACTTCTAAATGAGCAAAACAATCATCAGAAGGTATTTGATAATTGTGGATTCTGTCATCCTCTCTGGTTATAGGCACCACATTAACTGCTATCTCTACAGCTTCCTGGATAGAAATCACAACGCTGTTCTTTCTCCCTATTCTCTCCAATGTAACATAATTTTCTTGAGAATTCCAGCTTTGCTATAGGATAACTTCCTTACCATCGTAAGAAAATTTGAGATGGTCTATGTTGTAGTCCCATGTTTTTTCCTTTGTGGCCTCCAAAGAGAAGTTGTGAGTACCAAAAAGGACTCCTAGGGCCTGAATCCAAGTGTAGTCTCGTGTTCGTCCAGCTGGACGGAGCCCAATGAAACGTGCATTTATTTGAAGATTACTGTCAGATACTAAGCTGAAGTGTTCATTGCTCTTGCCGTGAAAGTAGAAAACAAGGCCATCGCCTCCAATTAGGCATGGGTCATAGCATGCAGCGCTAAGGCCGTTGCATTTGGTATGCGACCTATGATTGCAGACAAAAAGAAAGGGGTGAAAAGAACGTGATTAGTTACTCACGTTGGACTACTTTGAGCCTAATATATTCTTATCCCTTAACAGTGGCTATCCCACCTATCTTCAACAAGATAGGATTAGGACTTGATCACTAAAGCATGTAAGAAAGCAAAAAATAAAATGGAAGGAAGTTTTCACTTACTTTCGCACTCTGCCTTGCATATCGGAGAATCACAATTGATATAACAAGCTTTAACTTTTGGGACTTTGGGATTTCTAGATGGACATTCTCTTGGGCAGATTATGGTCTTGAGGAAGCATCGGTTCCTGCGGTTGGTGTAGGTGACCTTTTGTGGTGTCTGCGCAAACATTTTTACGACCCCAAATGCACAGAATAGCAGAATGATTAACAAACACTTGTAGATATTCATGGCTCAATGTAAGGAAAAATCAATTCCATTAAACTCCTAATTTATAGGAACTAGCTAGTTGGACCAATTCCAATTGCCTCATGCTAGTTTGTTAATTTATTGCAAATTGTTCATTTTTGTCAATGCTTGAAGATTACAAAGTTGCCAACACTTTAATTGAGAAGGGAGAATAATGATCTGTCATCTGTTGACATTTCTGAGTCCTGAAAAGGAAGCAATTGAAGTTCTAAATCAGGCTGAGAGTATTTTTGAAGACTAGTTTTAAATAAATTTAACGACATAAACTTTTAATCGAAGTGTTGTGTCGGCCTATAAACTTTACTTGAAATTTATATCTAGGGTGATTTAACAAGCTTTACCAATCACTCTGAAATCTCCAATATTGAGAAAAATAAGATTTCTGTTGGATTGGCTTGAAGTTACGGTGATTGACCACCAGTATAATTAAAACTTTTGTTTTGTGTATATATTTTGTTCCTTCTAATGTTTTGACAACGACAAAAAACATCAACGAATTGAAGCTAACAATTTTGAGAAAAAACCTAGAGTCAACCTATTTAATGTTCATATTTTGATTGGCCGATAATGGTGACACTTGGCATCGACGTTAGTTTCCGACCACCAACATTCTTTAGTTACATAATTAACTCTGAGAATGTGACCGTTGATTTATATTTGAAATTCTTACCATCATTGTCGAATCTATTAACGGTTTCTTAAAAAAGCCTATTCATGACATGACGAGGGAATGTGTTTCCTATAAAGTTCCTATTTATTTTATAGAATTATTAACAATTTTAGAAACATCCAATCACGTGGAAGGGAGTTGAATTTTCGGGCCGGGCCGGGCCACAACCCTGTCCCATCAGTAAATCCCGTTTGGTCCCCTCATTGCGACCTTATTTAACCGCACACCAAACATACAATTTCCCTCCAATTACTACAATTTCCAATTTCAATGAGTGAATTCCCCCAACACGCCGTTCTAGGCGAAGCTCACAACCACTCAAAACCCTAACGCCACTCAGTCGTTCCCACCATAATTGCATTTCAGAAATTCGATTATTACCCTATCGGTACGTTTTCCATTACTCTGGAACCATTTTAATCACCAATTCGCTGTCTAAAATGACTTTATTGCTCTGAATTCGGGCGCTCAGTTTGATTTAAATATTCGGTGGTGATTTGTTGTAATTGCACTCGATTTTTTAGTTTTTGGTAGGAAAAAAGTGGTTTTCCGATCGTAACTTTTTTGCGTCAAATGAAAGATGGTTCTGGATTTAAAATGAATTTCTATGCATATAGGTGATGATGAGTAGTGTTTGTTGTTAGTTGAAATCAATTTTACTGGAGCTGAATTTAAGAAGAAAAGAAATATGGAGGTGTGTTGCTGTGATTGGGTTGAGAAACGTGTAGTTTTCTTGTAATCTCTTTAATTGAATTAGAATTGGTAAGTGTTGGAAATTGGAAACAATGGGGGAGACTAGGGAGTCCTTGGTATCAAATAGTTCGGGCTTCAAGAGGTCATTGAGAAAGAAAAACGGTGTAAGGAATTATGATGAGAATTTGATGGATGAGTATATAGAGAGCCATTTGGGTGCTTCTTTGAGGAAAAAGAACAGAACACAGGAGGATTTGGAGAAAGAAACAGAGATTGAGGCCATGATAGCACTATCTTTGGGATTCCCAATAGATGAGTTACTACGCGAGGAAATTGAGGCTGGAGTTGTGAGTACATTGGGCGGAAAAGAACAAAATGATTATATTGTTGTGAGAAACCACATACTTACGAAGTGGAGGGACAATGTTAGGTCATGGCTTTCAAAAGGGCAAATAAAAGAAAGTGTGAGTAATGAGTATGCACAGTTGATAAATGCGGCTTATGACTTTCTTTTAAATAATGGATACATAAATTTTGGGGTTTCACCAGCGTTTGAGTCTCAGAATCCTCATGAAGCCATACAAGGGTCTGTAATAATTGTTGGCGCTGGACTCTCTGGGTTGGCAGCAGCAAGGCAGCTGATGTCTTTTGGTTTCAAAGTGATGGTCCTTGAAGGTAGGAACCGACCGGGGGGAAGAGTTTATACTCAAAAGATGGGTCAAAAGGGTAATTACGCTGCTGTTGATCTTGGTGGCAGTGTTATAACTGGTATCCATGCCAACCCTTTGGGGGTTTTGGCTAGGCAACTGTCCATTCCTCTTCATAAGGTTAGAGATAAATGCCCGCTGTACAAGCCTGACGGAACACCTGTTGACAAAGAAATTGATTCCAAAATTGAGCTCATTTTCAATAAGATGCTTGACAAAGTCACTCAATTGAGAGAATTTATGGGTGGATTTGGTAGCGATATTTCTTTAGGTTCAGTTTTGCAGACACTTAAACTATTATATTCTGTGGCTAGAAGTGACGAGGAAAAGCAACTTCTTGATTGGCATTTTGCTAACTTGGAATATGCCAATGCTGGAAACCTCGTGAACCTTTCAGCTGCTTATTGGGATCAGGATGACCCTTATGAGATGGGAGGAGATCACTGCTTTCTTGCAGGTGGAAACGGGAAATTAATTAGAGCATTATGTGAGGGAATTCCTATCTTGTATGAAAAGAAAGTTCAGACCATTATATATGGTGATGAAGGAGTTGAGGTCATTTCCGGAAACCAAGTGTTTCAAGCAGATATGGTCCTGTGCACTGTTCCTCTTGGGGTCCTTAAAAAGAGAACTATCATCTTTGAACCAGAGTTACCTGAAAAGAAGCTTGCAGCAATAGAAAGACTGGGATTTGGGTTGCTCAATAAGGTTGCCATGGTATTCCCTTATGTATTCTGGGGGGAGGACATGGATACATTTGGATGTCTTAGCAAACTGAGTTACAAGCGGGGAGAATTCTTTCTGTTCTACAGTTACCATACTGTTTCTGGGGGTCCTGTCCTGGTTGCACTGGTGGCTGGGGAAGCTGCACAATCTTTTGAATATGCAGACCCCTCTGCCTCTCTTCACCAGGTTTTGGGTATTCTCAAAGGTATCATACATCTTTGAAGTTTGAACTGAAAGTTCTACAATGCTCTCCATGAATCTGTAGACAATGTGTTTGTCATTTGCTTTCCTAATTTTTTGGACTTCGTAATTTATGTTGTTCTTTAGATTTGCATCTGTTGAGCATGCTTACGTGTTTTTACACAAACTTTTTGCAGGCATATATGGTCCAAAGGGAATTGACGTGCCTAATCCTTTACAATCCATATGTACAAGATGGGGAACTGATCCTTTTTCTTTTGGCTCATATTCACATGTCAGAGTGAAGTCATCTGGCAACGATTATGACATACTTGCAGAAAGTGTGGGAAGCCGTTTGTTTTTTGCTGGTGAGGCCACAATTAGGCAACACCCTGCCACCATGCATGGTGCCTATCTCAGTGGTCTACGAGAAGCTTCACGCATACTCCGAGCTTCAAGGGCACAGCAAAATAATCCTATGAAGTGCATACAGAGGAATATTGGACCCAGCGATGATACTTTATTGGATCTATACAAGAAACCTGATCTAGCATTTGGGAAATTTTATTTTGTCTTTGATCCTTTGTCCCAGGACCCAAAATCGTTCGGGATTATGAGAGTGTCTTTAGGGAAGTCCTGCAGGGAATGCAGTATTGAACACTGTAGTTTGGAGAAAAGAGAAGATAACTGTCAACATTTGCTAAATGAACCACTTCAGCTTTATACAGTAATATCTCGCGAACAGGCACTAGAGTTGCAGCAGGTGGCTGGAGGAAGCAAAAATCAAATGTCGTACTTGTTCAAAAATCTCGGCCTGAGGCTAGTGGGCGCCAATGGATTAGGACTTTTGGGCAACTCCGTGATATCTAACATTGTTAGTGCACGAAGAGGCAGAAGTCGGTTCCGCATGTCTTCTATACAGCAAAATGCCGTATAGAATTGCTTGTGTTCTTCATGATTAGAATTGTAGTCACCTCAAAATATTAGCACAATGATTTGTATGCATCCGCAGTTTTCATGTAGGGAAGGTATAGATTTAGACATGTTTTTTATTCTAGGTCCTGTCAGGATGTTGAAAGGGGTTATTTACTGATCCGGTGACATGATTTTTTGAAAAACTCGACAGTCATGTAGATCAATTTTCAGTAGGCTGAAGACTGCGCTAAACATAGATGACTTTAGCTGGTGAAGAATTGTACTGAAGAGAAGTTGAGTTCCCGCATTATTGAATAGTGGAAATGGCATTTGTAGACAAGTCCAGCCCTTTGTGTTCATTGATTTTTACTGTTTTTTCGATATGGGTTGCAAATTGTAAGCTGATAAACTAGAGAATTTTCCCTTCACTTTTGCCCTCATGTATTTTTTTGTGCTAGAAAAACAAAACAATAATATGAAGTTGAGCTTGTCATTGTGAGAGCAATGTTATTTGTTTTTACTTGCGGCCTCTCTCTACGTTTAAGGGTTTTTCACTTGATTTGAGTGAATTGAACTATTGGACTAGTTGAAAGTAAAAAGGGAAACTGTACGAGACATTTTCACAAACTTAATGATCATTGTCAAATGAAATGATTATTGCACTTTTTTTCTTAAATTAATTGACGTTTGTGGATGGTTGTTCATTCGGAATTCTTCTATTTATATTGCCAGATTTTTGGAGCTAGTGAAACTCTAAAGTCACTCGCCTTGATATGCTCGAAAAATAAAAATGGATGACTTGTAAAGCAAAACTTTAATAGTGATAAAAATTAAAATAATTACACGAACTTTCTTATCAGATTTATCGTTGTGTGATTACTACAAAGGGAATATATGGCCGAGCTTAAGAAAAAATAAAAATTATATTTAAATATATAGATAAATTATGATTTTCTTAATTTCCAATTTTAAAAATATATTTATTTTAAACAAACAAATAAAATATTTTCTAGAGTATTTTTCTCTAGGAAACCTCAAATATGAAAACCAACGGCTTAAGGGCCAACGCTCTTCCGAATAGAGAAGTGAGAGAGTAGAAAAATGTACGCGGCCTTATCTTGCGCCACTCCTGCGTATCCTACGCACACTCTCAGACCTTCCAGAGCCATAGTCTCAAGCTCTCGAGTTTCAGCTTCCCCTTTCCATCCCAAGGAACAAACCTTTGTGCCTGAGGTACAATTCATTGCTGCAGCAGAATTGGGAGGAAATATATGTTTTGTTTCGTCTTCTCTGAATTTGTTATATAATTTGATTTGTTCTTCGTCTTACGCATATAATGTGCAGGTTGAGAAAGCTGTGGACTCATTGTACTTAGAGTTTAGGACTGTGGATAATTTAGTTGCGCGCAATACCGCCCGTGTTCTTAAAGCTTTTCAGAACGCGCGCCTAGGATCTCATGTAAGATTCCGTTTTCGGTATAATATTTAGTTATATGTATTTTGATTAGAATGATAGTTGTAATATGTGAACAAAACAGAGAAGAACGTGCAGAAAGAGTTTTGGTATTCATTGATTCCTTTGTGATTTAATACACATATTTGACTACGTCTAAGATAGGAAAATATAGGTAAAAAAGGGAGAACATGTAAATACAAATCAATGGCAATAAATCACAAAATCCTATGCTACCGTTGGAGATTTACAGCATGTGCTGAAATCTTTGTTTCTGTAAAGAACTCCTTGATTTGTACTGAATCCGTTTTGGAAAGAATTCCAAAAGCCTCTTTATTTCTGGAACCTTCATCAATTTCTTCAAATTTCCCAAAACTATTTCTGCAATTGTGGAGCTAGAGTTGGTCGTCTTCTTTGACGAACCCGCATGGAGAGTATTCCTTAAAAATATGTAGGTTTGAAATTGAGAGTTGGTGGTGTACATGTATTGCTTTGATATATGATCAGCACGATGTCCTCACCATCAATTCGTTGATATTTAATCTATACCGAATTCCCAACTTTATTACAAGGCTAGTGTTCGATAACAATTTTGGCCTTCATATTTATTCGAGTTAGTTCTTACTTTATTTCTGTTGTATCTTGATATGTTTATATGGATGAATTGCTAACTTGGCTTATTTGATAGTGGAAACACTAAATTTGATGAAGTTAAGCTTGTCAAGCAAATCGTGCTCGAGAACTGGTTGTTCTTGACTTGGATTAGTATAGCTTTTAGAATGAGCGTGCAGTGAAATTAAGTCTGAATGTTCAATTAGACTTAGCATGCCATGAACCATCAGTTATCACTTTGAATCTTAGTTCTTTTAGTTTTCTGTCCATCAACGGAAAACACTCTTAGCCCTGTTTGGTACACATTAAAAATTTCATTTTCATTCTTCTACTCATTTTCAACCACATATTTTTCAATAAAATAATATTTTTCATCACATTAATAACTTTTCCTTCTTTTCAACCATACATTTTCCATCAATCTACTATTCCAAAATGCATTCTTCCAAAATAATGTGGTTCAAACACACCCTGATATTGAAATTATTATTCTACATGGATTGAAACATCTTTATCTCTATAAATAGAGATTAGATGGACATAAGAATCTTACAATAGTATAACTCATAATTCTATAGTGTTTAAATTTGGAGAAAGAGAAAAAATGAGAAAATCATATTTACTTATTGTTCAATCCAAGAATTAGTTTCTTGATTTAATTAAAAGAAGGTGCACATCCACCGGTGTAGTCTTGACTTTGGAGAATAACACAAAAGATTTGGAGGTTTGAAACATCTAGTTCTTGCAATTAAAAGGAGGATGCTTGTGATCCAAAAAGTTGAAAGTTCGTGATTCAAATCTAGAATTGAGCATCGAATTTAGGTAATAATTCGAATCCATAATTCTTGGTATAACATATACATGAACAACTAAATGATCTTGTTTGTTGAATTAAAGAAGTTTTTTTTTTTTCATTTCTGGATAATTCTACTTCCTCATCCCAACAACTGGTATCAAAGCGATCTAGATCGTTTACGTGTTTGTTATTTATAAATCTTGATTGCATGTTCTAGTAGAGCAAAGTCTGGAAATATTTTATTATGTGATGATTGAATAATTGAATTATTTTAAACTCTGATTCAATTATTTGTGGACAATTCTTAATATAATTCGTTATTTCGAGTATGTAATAAGATAGGTGGAATACGACTCCATCATCTTGATTTAATTTTCTATTCAATTAGATTCAAAATTGTGAGCCTATGAGACATGAATTATATAATTCTTGTAATTGTTGAATCTTGAAAATTGATTGAAGATTGAAAACCTAGAAGACATGACGAAGAAGATCAAGAAATTATAGAAAAAAATATTGCGGGGCAGATACATTCTGCCAGCATGGCAGAACTCTGCTTGTATAGGCAGAATGCTTGTGTGGCAAAATTCTGCCTGCATGGCAGACTGTTTGCGTGGTAGCATTTGAATTCCGGTTGACTTTTGGTTCAGGTTCTTTTTGTGAATATGGTCGGATTTGGATAAGTTGATTTTGAAATTAATTAATTTTTTCCAAGTATGGTAACAAAGTCCTATTGCTGTTTGGATTGCTGCTGTTGGATTCTTGGAGTTTGTTTTTAATTGAAGATTTAGATTAAATATTGGACTTGGGTCCAATTAGTTTTTTTTTCTTTTAATTCATGAGTCGTTTGGGTCACAAATAATTGTTAATTTATCGCTTATGAATTATTTAAATTATTATTTGAAATATTATCGTTCTAGATATCATGACATATAGATTTATTTGTGACATCGCTCATGATACTATGAATAGAATGTATATCATTAAAAACTGATTTTCCTTAATTAATTTAATTTAGATTAAATTTTTCTGGGTGGAAAAATCATAATAATTGAACTGTATGTTAATATGATTAATGTGAACCATTAGTAATTATTCAAAATTAAAATTCATTACTTTAAAAATATTGAGTGTGAGAGGGTATTTATTTAAATAAAAACCCCTGCTCTCCTTTGGTCAATAGGAGGGCCGCACTGTTCTAGTTGCTTGGTTGATTTCTTTATGATAAGGTCATCTAGATAAAATATAATTTGTGATCATCCTATAGATAGTGAAATTATTTTCCAAGTATTTAGAGATTGGGACAAAGGTTATACACTCAATTCCGAAGTATCTACGAACCTCCTATAGAGGTTCTTGTCTATAATTTTGGTGACCAAATAAAATGATACTAAGCTTAATATGGACATTTGTTGTCAGATATAATTTGTCTAGTGGGAGGGTCTCAACTTAATCAGTGGACACAGTGACCTTTCCTATAGAGAGACATGTTGGATCACCAGGATCGAGGTGTCGTTGCATTATTGTAGTTAGATGGACCTATATATACATTCATGCATCATATGCTAAATTATCATTTACTGCTCAATTTTAATATGAAATAAATGTTTATTTTTTAGCAAAATGACTCTCAACGTATTTTTGGTTATTTTAAAACAAAACCAACTTGCCGGGGATAATTACATGGATTGGAAACATAATTTGATGTTTGTGCTTATTGCTGATAAACTTGATTTTATGCTCAATGAGGAATGTCCCGAAGAACTGACTGAGATAACAGGCAAAGCCAAAAGGGCAACGTATGATAAGTGGATCGTAGCTAACAAGATGGCTCGTTGTTACATCCTGGCATCAATGTCAAACGTGTTACAGCATGAGCTTGAAAGTCAAGAGACCTCTTATGACATATGATAAGTGTAGTTTCTACACTTATTTGAGATCCTAAATGATGATATTTTACTGTTTTTTGGATAAAATACTACCTAACTTGTGTTATATTTTATTTTGTAGGTAAAACTCAATGTTTGATGAAGAATTGGAGAAAAGAATACAAAGATAGCGGAAAAGGGCTCAATTCTATCAAATACAAAGTTTGAGGACTGAAATGTAAATACTCAAAAGTTACGTCAAACCTCCCGATGAAGATTTGAGAATGTTAGGCA